GTGTGTGTGTGTGTGTGTCTATAAACACACGCTCCCTTCGCTTGCAACCTGTGCTGTGATATTTGCATGCGGCTGGAGCTTGTAACAAAGTATTGTTTGTCTCAGAATGCTTTGTATATGCGTCAAAGTGTGATGATGCTCCAGAAGTCTATCACTCCAGCCATGCAAACCTCGCGCTGACGTGCACGAGCCTCGGTGCTGTTAAACCGGGCCAGACACCGGTGCTGTTAAACCGGGCCAGACACCTATACCTGCGGGAAGCAACAACAGCCCGTTCTCAGCACCTTCCTCCTCACTGCTGACTAACACTGGGAGATGAGGCATCCGGGACGAATTAGGAAAACAGTTCAATGAGCTTAAGCCAAACAATTAGGCCAGTAAAGCCCACATGATCGAGGCCCAACAGCTCTAGTCCGGATAAGACCCGCTTCAGGGTCATTAAAACATCACCCAGAACTTCATTATCCTTCAGTAAGAGGCTCAGGGACAAATCTGATGTTTATACTGTGGCTGAAGTGGACGCATGACATGAGATCCGTTTCAAATTTCACAAATTTCACTCTTTCTCTTCACAACCAAGATGAGATTTCAGTCACATCACTAAACCTGGTGCTCTCAGGTCATTTTTGACCGATAAATGTTACGTTTTATTTATTTATTTTTATTCTTTACTTCATCGGAATGGTACGAAACTTGGTAAAGGTTTTGGCACTTGCTGTATATGAACACAAAAGGGTTAAAAAGTCATTTCGCGCATTGGAAATGAGAGAGTTTCCTCTAGTGGAAGCGTTTGGTACTGCAGCCACACACACTCTCACTGACGCTCATTTACTGACATATCAGCCTCAAATTTGAAACACAACTTGTTTAGATTTATGGCTTTAATTTTATAATGTTACTTTTTTTAAGTTAACTTTTTAAAACTGTTTTCACTTCAGCAATAATCTGCCAAGTGTCGTGTTTGAGAAGAGATCAAACTTCAGTCTGTCGCTCTGAAGCGTTCCACATTTACCACAATTGGACACTAATTTTCAGGTGTATGCTCAAAAAGTGAATAAACGGATTATAAATGCAGCGTAAATATAATTTAGTATAAATAAATCCCCTAAAAATACAAAAATATTAAATAAAAAACATTATCAAACTAAAATATAGTACATTAATTTCATTGCCAAAAAAATAAAAAAATAAAGAGGATGAATCGACACACGAAGAGCACCAGAGGGTTAAGTTATCAAAATGTTATTTTGTCTGAATGGAATATCAATGTGACATTGATGGGGCAAGTGCAAGTTGGTTAATTTGGTACACTGTAAAATCAACAATAAGTAATGACAACATATTTACATTGCTTTAACTTATTTTAACAAAATACGTTTTTTTATAAGTTATACAAGATTCAACTCATTTTAATGTACTTTAAGTTAAAATGACTTAAACATCCAAGTTGATTGTACTTAAGAATTTAAGGGAGCAACTTTTATTTTCTAAAGTAAAATTACATGATATTAGGCCAAAATTGGGAATGTGGTTCAAAAATAAGTGCAAAAGTGGAACAGTATTGTTTTAAGTGTGTACAATTACAGACTGCGACAATCCTAATTTGGATAACATCTCCAGACAAAACTAAAAAAGCTGATTTTTATGGAGGACCAAACCTGCAGAAATTAATAATGGATGGATGGATGAATGAATGAATGAATAGATAGATAGATAGATAGATAGATAGATAGATAGATAGATAGATAGATAGATAGATAGATAGATAGATAGATAGATAGATCAATAAATGTGATAATAGGAAAATAAATAAAGGAATAAACGACTTGATAAAATAAATATGATTTATTATTAATGTTTTTTTTTATTCTTTTAAATTGTATTTATTTATTATTTTATTTTATTTATTTATATATTTATTTAGGCCTATTTATTTATTTTATTTATTTGTTTATTAATTTATTAATTCATTATTAATTTCTGCAGGTTTGGTCCTCCATAGATTTTGACGCGACGTTTTCGCTAAAGACGCGGTTGTAATGTGATTGTCCCCGCCCACTTCATGACGAAACCGCGCTCTCGTCGAATCAGGACGCGATAAACCTTTCCAGAACCCTCCCCCTTGCTCGCGTTTGAGCTGTGTTGTCGCGGCGCGCGCTTCTCTCAGTCCGGTGAGTCACCGACACCGTGAGAGAGAGAGAGAGAGAGAGAGAGAGAGAGAGAGAGAGAGAGAGAGAGAGAGAGAGAGAGAGAGAGAGAGAGAGAGAGAGAGAGGCGGATAGCGAACGGTTAACGGTAAAGAGCTGGAGCTGCGAGTATGGCGGTCGAAGAGGAAGGTCTTCGGGTTTTCCAGAGTGTCAAAATAAAAATCGGTGAGTTCTGGCGCGAATGAAAGCGAGCGTTAATGCGCGAGACCATTCTAACAGAAATCACACGGTCGCGCGCAGTGTGTCTGTCTATTGTGAGAATGTGTGGATTTTCATACAAATATACTCGAAAT